TTAAAAATGCATGTTACAAAAATATTAACATTTAAAGTTTTTCTTTTTTGTCATTTATTCTTGGAAGCCAGGTTATTACTGTCCAATTAAAATGTATGCCAAGATTGAGTTAATTTATCCCACCCTGTGTGACAGAGGGCAACCATGGATAACATATCCAGCAGGTGTACACCTTTTCTGGCAATCATCAAAAATTTCTGCCAATATTTTAAGTCCAAGTTGCCCCATAATGTTCCACACAGCTTGACATCTTTGACCTCTTAAACGCCTCACAGGTCTTTTCTCTTCTTTTTTGCCTTCGTTTTATGATCTCATTACAAGTATTCTTTAAAGGCCATAAAAGGCCATGTGTCTGAAACACATGGACATCACACAATGTTACATAGCCTCTGTAGTTTTTTCAGTAAAGACATAGATGACACTATAGGCCTTTATTACAGCAGACATTTTGACATATCATAGCAGGAAAATCACACAATAACATAAACAACTGCGTTTAACTTCCAGATCCAGGGCCACTGAACTGTACTCTCAAAGGGAATAGGGTCATTGGTAATGTCATTAGCTGCACCTGTGCATTTCCTGCTATGACAAGTGAGAAGCATGTTTTCAGTAATTACTGCGAGGTTTACCAGACTGCAGAAAGAAGAGAAGTCCCTGGAACACCACTGTGGTTTGGTCACACAGCACTGAACAATTCTTTCCACATTATATAAACATCCAACAGGAGACTGTGACAAACAGCAGATCTCTGGATCAGATAAACATGTTTACACGTGGAGTACAAAGAGAGATATAACTCAGAGCTGCATACAAGGCTATGAGTTAGAGTCATAACACACACAGAGAGTTGATGCTGAAGTACAAACTTTCTAGATGCAGAAATGCACCTCTACAATGATTTTTGGGTTGTCTGCTAATCTATTTGTTATCAAGATTTTAATAGAAATGCCAGACAGCAGTGGTAAAAGAGCGACTTAGATCATTTAGTAAAAATAGCAGTGTTACAATGTAGAAATAATATTAAAAAAATCCTGTATTCAAGTAGACACAGTAAGTATTCAAAGCAAAATACTTAAAGTATAAAATCACAAAGTATTGTAGCTTATTCAGAATAGAACTTCTCAGAGTGCTATATTATTATACATATATTATTTGTAGCTTGTTACTATTGATGCACTAATGTGTAAGATGCATCTCAATATTACCAGACATGGAGGTGGAGCTAATTTTATCTTCTGATGGGTAGGTCTTATTATAGACTAGAAAATGCCTTGTATTTTATAAGCTCTTTAAAAAATATTATCTCAATGGCTGTGAAATAAATGTAATGAGGTAAAATTACAGTATTTGCCTCTGAAATTTGGTTGATTGGAAATATACAGTAGCAAAAATGAATAAATAAATAAATTAATAAATTTCAGTAATTTTTCATTTTAAGCTTTTAACATACAAAGTGAGCAGAAACAGTATAAACAGAATCATACGATGAAGCATTGAGAAAATAAAAATAAAAACAGTACTGAACAGAAAAAGATGACAACAGCAAAACAAATTTAACAAAAAATAAAGTAGAAATTCAAGATTCATTGAAAGGTTTTGAAGATAGTATATACATTATCATTTTGATAGCTTTTGTTTTGTTTTGTGAGGAAGAAATGGTTGACAAATATTGTTCCATTTCCCTCATAAATAGCTTCGGCATTTTTTTTTTGGGCTTGTTTATAAATTTACAGTAATATCTAATATTATCTATTAGCCTATTAGTAATATCTTATCTATCTTCCCAGTATATGTAAAATGACAAGACCAAAATATGAGTGAGCAACTTTTAGGATGTAATTCACAAAAACAGCAATTTATATCTATGTCACTCTTTAACTTCTTTAAAGAAATGATTCACTGGACAGAATCTATGGATCAATTTAAATGACAATGTTAGGAGAAACTTTTGGACCGAACTTTCATGCAGTTAATATCGTTAAAAAAATGACTCAACAAAATGTTGCTGCAGAAATAGAGACTATGTTGTCCTGAAACAAAGCCCTTCTTGTGAAGTTCATTCCTCTATCAAAGGTAAAAAACAAACAAAACAAAAACAATTGCTAGATGGCGGTAATCCACTGTGTCATTGGATGCGCTAATACTGAAGTTTGTCCAAGCAGGACTCCGTACTCACGCCAGCATTCAGAAGGAAACATGGCGGCCGTCCTGGCAAGGAGGATGTCTGGTGTGTACTTACAACTTGACATTCATACTTTTTCTTTTCGCTCTCCTCAGTTCGTCAGTGTTTTTTTATCCATGTTTTAATGCACTGAATTTTTAGAGTAGTTGTATTTACGTGTTGTTTGCTAGCACAGATAATACGTCATGTTGCTACGTTAGCTAGTTAGCATCAGTGCTACGTTTCCTTCCCTGTGACTTCTCTCATGTGTTGTCATGTTGTCCTTGTGTCTGACAGGGCTGCTGAGGCCGCTGTCTGCCTCTCTGTGCGCCAAGACACCACAGGTCTGTCAGCTCTCCACCCTCATCCAGCCTCCACCTCTCTACGGGTCTGCTGCAGCCGCTGTCTGCGCTCCTCTGCGGGCTGCGGTGTGTCAGACACCCCGGTACAATATCCTACAACGGTAAAGGACATGGGGGACACCCCTGTTGATACTAATGTGAAGTGGATATTATCAATAGCTACTGTAACCACTTTATTGTTAGCTTAATATCCACACGTATGTTTCTCTTTTAAATTCTATTCTGTATATCGTGCCAGGCAAGAGGAATTACATTATATTTACACTATACACTAAAGTATGTGAAAGGGGAGCACCACCTATATTAAAAATCCAGTATGTTATTTCCATGGCCATTGAAAGTTCAATCAATATTTGTAAACATGAGCTATTCTCTTTCAAAGCCAGACACCAGAGAATTAAGTCTTAAACTTGTGATGTCATAGGGTATAAAGTCTGGAGATACTCCATAGACAGTGACTGGGAGACTAATTTTGTAGACACACAGAATGTTTGTTTTCTTTTTTATAGCCTAATGAGCTGTATATTACTGTAGTGTTTTCGGTTCTGAAATAGAAAATGTACCCATACTCATACTCAGTGTCATCTATAACATCCGTCACCATTAATTGTCTATGAAGCAGCTCCAGACTTAATACTCCATGACATCACAGATTTGAGTTTTAGCCTTCTAGCTTTTGGATTTGGGAGAGAGTTGTTCATTTCTACTAAAATGTTTGGACTGTCCTAGACCATAGGAGTAACATGTATGCGTTTGTTTTGTATGAGTTCCCCTTTAACACCCTTGTCTGTGTCTGTTTTGTATTGGTTTGAGTGGGACCCCTTTGTTCTGTTGAAGGAAAATCTCAGTACTGCACTGTTATATATATTTTTTTTTCTCATTTTTTAAAAAAATATAGATAAAAGTAAAATCAGAGTTGAAATCAGTGGTGCAACTTGAAAACTGGCTTATTGGAATGATAAAAAAGTAAGCTAACCACAAACAATATCTCAGAGACAGATATATCAAAACCCGAGCAAATAAAATTAAACTATGCATAGCTAGTGATACTTGTTTGTGTTAAAGGAATACTTCACACCCCCAAATAACCATTTGTATAGCAATTACTTACCCTGTATTATGTTGAATTTGTGAAGAAAACTTTTTCTCACATGCCTCCAGGGTGAACAAAGAAACCAAAAACTAAAACAAAAAATCTTCATAGGGGTTCAAGTTTAACTTCAGAATAACAAAACATCCATTTACAAATTCTCACACAACATGTGCAATATAAGTAAGTATCATTTATCCAGTTACGTGCTCAGCACTTCCCAAATGGACAACCCTTTCCAACAGGGAACTGAACTAAAAATGAACTTTATTTATGCTCTCATCAAAGCCAGACTCCATTGACAAGAATTCAGAATTCAGAAGGTGCTGGTCTACCACTGCCTCTATCAGGTACTTTGTGTTAATGTGACTTTAATGACTTTGGTGTTTTAATGGGTTACTTTTGATTCACACAAAATATCACCAACTAACTGATGGGGGCAGCAGTAGACCAGTAGCCCCCTGTGTTTGGCAAGGTAACATTATTGTTCTGACAATGGAGTCTGGCTTTGAAGAGAGCATAAATACATCTCACTTTACATTCAGTTCCCTGTTGGAGAGGGCAATCAGTTTTGGAAGTACCAGTTCCACAGGATAAATAAGACTTAAATTGTACTGCACATATTGTGTTAGAGTTTGTAAACTGATGTTTTGATTTAGTTTTACCGTTGCTGTCAATAGGCAAGTTTTTTCACAAATTGAACGTAACATAGGGAGAGTAATTGATATACAAATGATCCTTTAGAGGGTGAAGTATTCCTTCAAGCAATAAAATGTCATTTTGTAATTTGAGTATATTGAACCTTTGTCTCTGGGTTTTTCAGGGTATCGGCTCTTATTCCCAGTTTGACCCAACAACCAAGCAGGAGCCTTACGTATATCAGTCTGAAGAAGGGGAAGAGGAAGAGTGTGAAATCTGTGACAGAGAGGTTCATGAGGCTGCATTGCGGCCTCTGGATCAGACGCAAGGTACGAGTCTTTTACTGTAAAACTGCCAAAATCACTGATTTAAACACACACACAGGGTTGCCAATCTGAGTTCTTGTTTTCGGGTGTGAACAGGCTGGCTACAAGAAGAAACTGTGGAAGAAGAAACCTGCCAGACGAAAGCGCCTGAGGGAGCACGTATTCTGTAACAAAACACAGAGCATGCTTTTGGATAAAATGACAACCTCTTTTTGGAAAAGGAGGAACTGGTATGTTAATGATCCTTACCTGAAGTACCACAATCGGGTCAACCTCAAACTGTAATCTGCTGATTCATGTAGTGACATCTTCATAATGTTATAATGTTGTATATGTAATAAAATCATATATCTTAGTTGAACATGTGCTTTAAATTTTTCTTTTAAGATAGCAAGACAAAAAAAGATCAACACACAAAGTTTTGCTTCATATTTAATGGCTGTAAATCGATTTAAACAGAAATATTTAACCTAGTAGAACAATAAATTGACAGCCATGGACCATCATGTCATCATTTCACTGCTTTTTGCTTTTTGTTCAGGTTGAAATTTAAGTAATTTGACATTCTGGCCTGCCAGAACAAAATTGCTTAGCATAATTTAAGTGGTTTTTAGTCATGAATAAAGTCAAAGTGGTTAATTTATCGGTAAATAAGACATTATCTATATATATGTAAAGCCAACATGGATAACATTTCATAGTCTTTCTACAAAGCAACAAAAAAATGACAACATAATTCATCGTTTACCAGCAAGGCATCCGAACAAAATCATTCAAGAAATCCAATTTTCATACAAATCATAACAAACATCATGCAATGATGAGTTCATCAGTCTACGCACAAGTATACAAATCTGCTACTTAGCAACGTTTTTTTTTTCTCCATTTTACTTTGCATGAATTTTAACAGAAGGAAATCACCTCCAGCACTAACACTGATACTACTAATGCTGAACACACATACTCTGATTTTTCCTGTTTCTTTTTTTTTCCTCACCATTTATCCAGTAAAAGGACATTTCATGTGCATAACAAGTGTATCTACAACATCAGAGTGATGGACGTGTAAACAGAACAGTTGTACCTGAGAAGCTTTTGTTTCAAACTTCAGACCACCCTAAATGATACAGATACAATGATGGAAATTATAAGTCTACAGCAGGAGTCCACCCATCAACAACCAACACAGTGATACTTTGTGTAAAATGTCGCTATGATTCAGGCTCAGTGAACTAAGTACAGGATGGAAACATACAGTGTATCACCATGCAATATTAACTTAGATTTAAGTTTGTAAACCTGCAAACCGACAAACTCCCTCTAATGAATTCCTAAAAAAAAGTAGAAGGTAAGATCGTTGGGTTTAGTGTTGCTCAGTTAACAGCAGAGCACTACACAGTGATTTCAAACATGGAAAAAGAACCATGTTTAGATACAGTAAGTATTTATTCATGTTATAGTCTATCTCTGCTACAGCTGAAAAGTAACATACACCGATCAGCCGCAACATTAAAACCACTGACAGGTGAAGTGAATAACATTGATTATCTTGTCACGGTGCAATGTTCTGCTGGGAAACCTTGGGTCCTGGCATTCAAGCGGATGCAACTTGACATACACCGAAACACCAGTGCAGACCAAGTGTACCCTGTCAAGGAAACTTTACCCCCCAATGGCAGTGCCCCCCAGCAGGACAGTGTGTCATGCCACACTGCAAACATTGCTCAGGAATGACCCGAGGGATGTGACAAAGAGCTCAAGGCATCAACCTAGCTTTCAAATTCCCCAGATCCCAGTCTGATCGATCATCTGTGGGATATGCCGGTACCCCACCTGGCAACCCACAGGACTCAAGGGATCAGACCATGTCTCGACTGGTCAGAGGTCCCACAGTGGATCAGACTTGGATAGGTCGACGCCTCGAGCTCTTTGTCACATTCCTTGAGCACTGCCATCTGCGTTTGGCATTGCCATGTGGGAGTATACTTCATCTGCAACAGTGCTTGGGTGAGTTGTGAATGTCAAGTTGCATCCACATGAACGCCAGGACTCAGTTTCCCAGCACAACATTGCATTGTAATGAGATGATAACTGCTATTCTCTTCACCTGTCAGTGGTTTTAATGTTGTGCCTGATCGGCCTCAAATTGCCAAATAAATTGTCAATTAAATGACAAAACATGCTCACAAACTGAACAGTAGATTGTCAGAAACAGTCTGCTCCATTGAGGAAAACTCTTGCAGTAGTGATTTCATTTTTCTGTGTTGCGAAAGCTATGACTTGTCACACAAGTAATTATTTCTTTACCACAGAAGAACAGAGCAATAACAATAAAGTTATTGTAGTTGATAATATTCAGCTACTAATTTAATCTGATTTTTGGCCATTTCAGAGTACTGAGGGCAGTAATTTCATATTCTAAACATAGTGCAAAATGATTGTTTAATGAGAACATAGTTGTGTAATAAATTCTTATGTGTGGAGACATTTTAGATTTCTGCTATGTCTTTCTTTAAGGCTTAAATAGAGAGGTAAATAACAGAATATTGTCTGCCACTGCTGTCTGACTCTTCATGATCACAAAAGGTACGTTGTCTCATCTAAGAATGTTTTTAGGTGATTTCTGAATACCTTAATATGATAATCAGTGCAGATTCAGCTACTCACAGATATTTCTCCAGAGGAGATTAAATGGGGGTAAAAACAGCAACGCCTTTTCTTTTGATCCTTGGCTTTTCACACATTCTCTAACAGTGACAGTGACAGTGACAGTACATTCTGTTGAATAACAGTGGACTAATGACTGGGAAGACACGCATGCGATTGCCTACCCCAACCTGATATATAAAAACAATCAAATCAGAATGATGAAGAACACACAAACTGTACATAAATACATATTCAATAACCCACTAACTCAAAGTGTCTATCAGCATGGAGCCCATTCATTCATTTGTACTATCTCAGTGTCACAAACCTCACTGTTTTTAAATCATGAGCCATGAGATACAGTGTATATATAGAGGGGTCATCATAGGTCACTTTGGTAATACCTTATTCCAAAGCAAGGCTGCTTCAGTCATGTAGCTTTTGGCCATTCAGTGTTTCACTTCTTGCAGCAAAGGCAGCGGGATGAGTCTTTAGGACAGTTTCACATGGCTTCATTGTTTGAAGAAAGAGCACTCCTGGATCTTGTGAGAGGCCTTAAGACTTTAAGAGGAGGCTAGAAGGGAGGACAGATAAGGATAAAAGCAAAAAGGGACATGGAGTTTAGTCAGCTAATAGCTACAACAAGTTGCACATTATTTAAAGGAGACCTCGTGTTATTTTATATTTTTCTTATTGTCAACAAATCCCAGGGTCCAAAGACCAAAATGAACAAGTCTGTCTCTGAAGACTAGCTGACCTCCACATGCTGTCTGTGAATTAAGTGTCTGTGTCCAAAACCCGCCAGTTCCTACTGAAGACATACATTGTGAATTATTGTATAGTTAAGTCACTATAGTAACATAAATTGGTACTGAAAATACCATAAATAAATGATGGAATTATAACTGTTGATGATTGAAGTACATCCAAGGGTCAGTCTATTGACTCTGACTCTCTGAGGGAGGAGTTGAAAAGCTGTGACGTTGCTGGGCATTGTAGTTTTTTGGAAATATTGTTAAAACGGGAGTGACTAGTATTTGTCAGGGACTATTTTCAGCTGTGGAATGATACATATTTGGTCCTCCACTGAATATTGATGATAGCAACATCCTCTATGTAGGTCTGATATGAATAACTACAGTACACATGTTAATTGTGATGACGTAACATGTCACCCAGTGCGACAGTGTGGCTTACTGATGTGTTTTTAGTAGTCTTTGGACAACAAGATGTCTTTGGCACCAAGGAATAAACTATACCAGGCTTTGGCCACACAGACAATACCTATCAAAATGATCAATTAATTGTTGGTTTTGTTTATTTTTTCTTGGGATTTGTTGACCATCAGAAAAAAAATAATAATATGCAGGTGTGTCCTTCACTATCACCATGCCAAACAAACTGATATTAGATGTTGAAATACACTAAAAAAACACCCATTCATTCCAGGGACTGATTATCCACAAAGATCACATCAAAAGTAGAAGTTATTATGAGGGGTGAAATACGCTGTAAGGTGATCCATGTCAATCCGTCAGCCATGTTTGGACTTATTTTCATGCCTCATTTCCAAACAAGTGAAAAACTGCAATCATGCAAGAGCAATATCACACATTCATTTGAACGAAACAATGATTCCACTAAGAAGTCAATACATGGTTCAGCTTCATCAGTGCAGAAATCCTGTTGGCGGCCAGACTCTCCACAGTTGCAGAAGAACTTAACCATGATGATTTATTTAGCTACACAGCAGCAGGAATTAGTGAATCGGTGGGTGAATCACCACTCTCAAGGGGCAGTTAGGATCAGGCAGCAGCTGAGCAGCCACGTGGACGAGGCAGTGTACCTCAGGAGCCTTCCTCTTAATCAGCCTGAGCTGTGGAGAGCTTGATGCTTCCTGCACCCCTTTGCCCACCTCCTCAGCCTGCTCCGGAACTGGAGGAGGAGAGGGGGGTGGAGAGGGTGTGGGGGGTGGGGAGGACTTGGGTGTCAGTGAGGGCGTAACGGGTGTGGACTCAGACTCAGAGGGTGAAATGGTCTGGGACGGCAACTCCTTGGAGTCCCAGTGGTCCAACCCCAACATCTCATACTCAGTCATGTCAAAATCCTGTCCTGTACCGTGAGAGAAGGTCGGTGGAGAGGATGAGCAACGCGTAAATCCTGTCGCTGGTCTATTAAATTGAAAGCCAAATACCCTTTGTGTAATTGCTGTAGAGTGGCATCTGATTTTAGTCAGCAGGGATTACGAAAGTTCATATTATAATGCATTACCATTCTGCAGACCACAAAGCAGAGGCCAAATAGGACGTTATGATAAATGGGAGCCAATTTGTTGCAGCACTAACAAGCCTCTGTCTTATTATAAGTCTCTGTTTAGTTTCTGCAGAATTATGTCCACTCAGGCCAATGTTTTTTTTGTCATATGAAGCAATGACAGGAGCAGACAGCTGAAACATATGTTTGACAATATTGTTCAAACATCACAGTAGTGTTCGAGGACAACATTTGTGATATAATATATTTTTCATATTGTCAACAAATCCCTTAAAAAGACCAAAACCAACAATAACTCGAGACTTGCACCTTTTTTTTCTGTACTATAAACCTCCATTGTTGTCCAAAAACTATATAAAAACACATCAGTGAACCACAGTGTTGCACTGAATGATATGTTCCTAGATTACAATGAACATGGGCACTGTGTTTCTTTTACGCACTGAAGCACGAAGTGTGCATTAACCCGCTGCTGTAAATAGTCTCCAAAAAATACACTTTTCATTATTGTTTTAGCAGTGTTTCCTGAAAGTGCAGTGTCCAGCAGTTCTAGAAAATTACTGAGCTTTTTTAAAAATGAAATATACTTGCCACCTGTGTTTATAGCTACACCATGCAGGAATTTTTGGCTTCTGTTTGCTAGCGAAAGTGGAAACCAATGCAAGACTCACTGCATTTGCGTTTTTTTTTTTTTTTCAGTGCTGTGTCTGGGTTTTTGTAGCTTCCTCTTGGATGCCTATTGCTTAAGGTCTGGAATCTGGTCATTATCTTTTTATAAAGTCTCGACCTCCCCTGCGCACTGTGCCAAGGAACGTCCCGGGCACAGCAAAAATACATGCAGAGGGAAGAGTCTCTGCAAATAAATACAGGTCACACACTTTAATGGGGTCATAAGTGTTGCTTGAGTACGTTCACATGCACAAAATATTCAGTTTAGGCCCTTATTCTGAAAAGACAATATTCCTACTAAACTCTTTACATGGCTAATGGCATGAATAGTCCACTAATATTCCCATTTACATGCAGCCTCCTTTTTCAAAACTTCACCAGTTACGGACTTGTTCAACCATTCAAACACAGCCTCCCTCTTTCATTAGCAGTGTGTCGCAAACTACTGTAAAATCCCAGTTGAGATGCATAATCTGAATGTGCTGTATAGATGTCCAAAGAATACTCCTAAAACTTGAATAATACTGGCATATTACACATGCCTTGATCAGAAAATGTTCCAAACGAAAATATCCAAATGAAATACGCACCTATCAAATTTAGAATATTGTCAGGGTCGGAATAATAGTGGAATATTAGTGTGTGTATGTATACGTAGTCATTGAGAAGGATTACTTTTGTATGAGTGTATACAGTGCCTTTTAGGAAAATCCTGCATAGTATACCTTTACATATATATATATATATGTCTTCAGTGGGTACCAGTGGGCAGAGAGCCACAGGCAGGGTGTAGAAGACAGTAAGTACTTAAGGATGGATTAAAACATGGTTTTGGTCTCTTAATGGGACTTGTTAACAATAAAAAATATAAACTAACACCAGACTTTTCCTTTAAATTATGGAGAACCCATAATTGAGTGTGGCCATAAAATGACAGCAGTTATGTTAAGAATATTCTCAGATATTAACAGAAGCAGTCTCAGTTCTTTGTATAATAAAAGGGTTAGTTGTGTCCTAACTGTGCAGCTATTCCTGTCCAACGTAAACAGCAGTGTCTAAATGTTATGTCTGAATTCCATCTACAAAGGAATAATTATTTGCCGATTAAAAAAAACATGACACCCGATCCAGACTGAAACAAACAACAACTGTTTCCACATGATGTTAAAGTAGGAACAAATCCCCCCAGCTACATGTGAGTTTTATCACAGGGTGTTGAGCCTGGCAGCGCTGTGAGGTCTGACCTGCTCCAAACAGGAAGGCAGAACTAAAGTTAGGGGGCCACTCAGGAAAGCAGGGGTCCTAAACAATATCTGCTAGCTTAAATAAACTTCGACAGGAAGACAGAAATCTACATGATAATCTATTTTACACAAACAAACCAGGCACTGCTATTGCCTTAGAGTCCCACTATTACAGCTAATGTTCTCAACACCACAACAGAAAATTCAATATGCCTGTTTAACACTAATAGCTTGTTGGATCCAGTCAGTCTCTATAGTGGCTTGTACTTTTCTGTGCTCTGTGTCTACTCACCCTTGTTGTAGCTCTCCGACTTGCTGCGCATCATAGATCGGGTCCGATGCTGTGCTGCTGCAGGTTGCGTAGTGCCAGGGACGGTGTTATCGGGGTCAGACTGATAGGAAGACAGATCCTGCATGCTGAAACTCCTCAGCCTGTCTGACAGGACCCCTTGGCTCTACAACAGGTAACACCAGGGTTTCATTTTAGAGTTGGCAGCAATGTGTGACAGTTTGAGCATAGATCATATTCAAGGGCTTAAATAATTTGATGCCAACATTCAATAAGCCTACTTTGATATGTGAATCACAAACCACGTACCAGGCTTGATACGCTTATACACATTCATATAGATTTCGGGGCGTCACAGGGGACACATCTCCTTCGGTATTTATGACGTGTGCACGTAGCAGAGGACTTACACCATAAATTGATGCAGGAAATTAGCTGTTTGATGCTTAACATTTTCTGGCAGGGGACCCCTAGACCCCCCTGTTTCATATGTGTCCCCTCCAGTGTTGAAACAAAACCTACGCCCTTGTAAACAATGACCCTCCGCCCTAACCCCAGGTCAACACAAAGCAAATATCCAGCATCTGCATTACCTTTGTTGCAGCCATGACTGCAGCTGTGGCGGCAACATTCAGCCCTTTTCTCCCATAATGCACCAATGTGTCATAGCTTTTGTCCTTCGCTTGGCAGATATACTCATCAATGTCCTGAAACAAGCACACAAAAAAAAATAACATGAACTTTGTGTCTCTTGTAATTAATATGTCACTCTTATTTTACAGCATGTTGACAGGTATTTCTCATATTGCTTGATTACATCATTAATCTAACGTGTTTCCTGAGTCATCCACAGAGGAAAAAGGAAAAGAGAAAGGGAGGATCACCAGGACACTTCCTTTCTCCTGACCTGCGAACACATCTTTAACAGCTAATGTGGAAAGCTAAATTGGCACAAAGGCACTTTTTGTTCTTTGCACAGCTGCAAAGCTCAAATTCTATTAGTGACAAAAAACACAGACTGACTTAAACTGAATGTTTTCACCTCAGCCTTTCCTTGAACTGCACCAGCAGGAAAAAAAAGGGAAGGAACAACAAAAGGAAGGGATTTTCACCTTTTCTTTTGAGGAAAGCGTGGGATGAACAAACTTCCTGTATAGCACACTGGAGCCTTTAGTGTAAGGGGACAGCAGCCACACCACAAAGGCTATCTTCAGTTCATAGTAGAAAGGAATCCTGCAATGGAGACACAAAATGATGGAGCTACTGGTACAACAAAGCATAAAGCTTTACATCCCAGTATGTGATATGGACACATACTATTTAATAAATCAACATTAAATATCCGAAGTGACTTACCAGCAAAGAAACATATCTGTAAACACTTCCACAGCAGTGAACAGGGCAAATATGATCCAGTACATCATCCATTTTACCTGCAATTTAACACAGCGGTTCAAGACAGTTACAGTAGCTGCAGAATCATATTTATGAAGACAACCCTGCATGATATCATCTTGTAACTAAAATACAAATAAGAAATGTATGACATGGAGAAACTTCTCTTTTCTCTTCTCTCAGATTTTGTATCAATAAGTGTTGTAAGTATTGGTCCAAATGGTTATTACACATGAATGTGGAAGATAAATGTCATTAAAATTAGTCATTTTCATTCCCTTTAGAGGCTAGGTGGACAGAGGCTGATACCTCATGTGATGCCCTGTTAGTGTTTTCTTTTTATGCCTCTCTTTCTTCCTTGGACTATTGGGAAAGTAACCTTTGACACAAAGCCAACTACTGATAACATATGAGCTGTAATGTATTACCCTTGTTAACCTCTTTGTTCAGTTCTCCTGTGCATTTTTGTTCCACTGAAACAAAAGCTACACAAATAAACTATTCATAATAATACAAATGATATACTCACATATTCTTTCACATCTTTCGACTTCACAGCTTTATAAGATGAGTATGCAGGATATAGTGTACCGAACACGAGTCTGGAAGAGAGGAAATGTGCACATCAAGTCCAGAAACAAAACATTTAACAATTCAGTCCAACACATATTTCAAGCGTACACAAAAACACATCAAATCAAGACATTTTAAATGTAATAAATAACAATTAAGGACAACATATTACGGCAGAGATTTCAAATTATACGCTTGACCTGGGCTAACATGTTAAATGTATTTCTTTGTCTTGAGAAATCCTTGTAAAATATCTGGAAATAGTTTGTTATAGTGTATACATTTATACATTTTTTGCCCATGAGCCTCGGCCTATACGTAATTGGGTCACTAAACAGGTCTAACAGGTACTGGCCAAAGGGCCATTGGCCTTCACCTGTAAAATGTCACAAAACCGACCGGGTAGAGACTCAAAATGAGCACAAAGAGACACAAAAAGACCACACAGAGACACAAAATGAGCAAAGGGCATAGAAAATTACCTCAAAGAAGGAAAAAAACCCTCACAATATGACCTCAGAGACAAAAAACAACCCCACCCAATTACTAGACTAAAAATGACTACAATGGGACACAACACAACCAAAAGAAAAGAACAAAAAATGACCTGAGAGATACACTAAGTGGCGAGACACAAAACAACCACAAAGACATACAGAGACACGCAAAAAAAGAGGCAAAACCACTGCAAAATCAGTGTGTCTTGCTCCTGTGTATGACAGGTGGCGGTGCCTTTGCATATCTGTGCCCAGGGATCCACTGTCTCACAATCCGCCCATGCCAACATAACTTAACCGATGAACTGCTTGTCAGGTGAGATAAAGATAAAACAGGGAACAGCTTGTCCCTTCTAGAAAGAAACTAAATCAGCCATGCTTGAGGTTATATTTTGCCTTGGCTGATTTAAGCAGTTCAGGTGATAAACATGATGTAAAATTAGCTTCCATGTGTTTTCTTCCTTTCCTTTATATTTCTATTCCTGTGTGGGACACCTGTGCTGCTGGGTGCCCTGACAGAGACGGCACCCTGTTGAAATGCTACAGCCAGGCAACAGCTGTGAGTAGGACCTGATCATGTTACTGACCCACATCATGTTGCACCTCTCCGTCCAGTCCAGCTAACTGTGCTCTGCCAGAGTTAAGACACAAGGACACTAAAAATAACCAGATCATCTGTAGGAGACAACTGAACCTTTCTGTTGCAGACTGGACCCAAAATGACCCACTTAACCAGGTTGTGCACAGCCAGGGATGAGGCAGCTTCATCCATGTAACAAGATCTAGTAATCTAAATTTAATTGCTTCACTATTTTGGGGTTGGGCCTGCTGCTGTTGGTGTACTCCACTCCACACGCTCTGCAATGGCGCTGATTCATACTTTGTGCAGGTTAAAAATAACCATAAGTTACTGTAATAAACCTCGTCCTATTATTTAAAGATTCAAATTCCTAGCTTTAAGGAAATGCATCGAGTTTTGTGCATACGTCTTCAATAATCAATAACTCTTGCATTGTAACCTGAGAAGGATGACCCATCCCTTTTGTTTTTTTCCAATATGGGACATCAACAGAGAATATAGCTCCACTCAAAGACCGCTCCTGTTTCAGTCACCTCGCCGCTCAGTGACATTTAGCTCTCTATCACTGAAAGACGCCTCTGATTTTCTGGATCTGACTCATATAGTCATAACGTGGATGATAATAGATTATTCAGCCAATCACGTCACCTCTTTGTCCGTAATCATAAAGGGGTATTTGATAAACACAAAGAGTGCCAGGCTGCTGAGCGCTGTTCAGAAACACACAAGGTCCACACAGGCCTGGCTCAGCATTCCTGCTGCTGAAATGGCAAAGTACAACCCTATGGATTTTGGACTGTTTTTCCAAGCAAAAAATAAATAAATAATAGCCAGGCGTCTGCTCTCCGTGCACGCTGACGTCTTCTTCTGATTATATATTAGACAATTTGCGGGGGCTTGTAAAGCGCGCCGCTCCTGCACCGTCAATGAGCGGCTCAAATACCCGCAATAACCGGGAGCAGCTATTTAATATTAACCCACTTTATGACAGAGCATATGGAAAGAAATAATAAAAAATGACTTACACCACAAGTCTAGAGATGATCCAGGAGACCATTGCGCTGGAAAGGCGACAGGACGCGCTGTCTGCGGGGAGGAGTTTCCTCCAGATGACAGGCGCGTCCAGGCGGCTGCGTCTGGACGCACACAGGCGGCAACGTGATGCAGGATAAACAGTGAGCGGCGGAATGTAACCCTTATCCATAGATGGCAGTGTTGCATTGCAAAGACGACACGGAAACTCGGCATGTCTGCTGGGTAAACAGGAGGCTGCCTGGTCAAAGTGTGTTCAGATGTTTTTAGCATTACCTGATTAACCTGTTGGGCCCCTTATTGACACCCTGCCCCCCTTTTCCTTTGCACAGAGTGTACCCTGCCCCCCTTAAGTTCCCTTAAAGCACAGACCACCAGCAAACATGGCAGCCTAATTATTTACCCAGAGATCTAGTCAGTTTGTGGCAATTTAATGAGGTTTACTTAGAATAATGCAGTATGTGATGGTGAATCTAAGTTATTTTATTTTTCTATTATCTATATGTATATATATTTTTCGTTTTTTTTATTGGGTTATTTTTATATATTTTTTTAAAAAAAATATTTTGTTTAATCTATGAAATGTAAGATATAGAACAGTGAAAATGTCCATCACAGCTCCTTAAAACCCAAGTGACGTCTTCAGATTGATTGTTTCGTCCAACACTCCCAAATATTCACTTAACTGTGATATTAAAAAGAAAAACTGTGAATCCTCACATTTGATATTCTGAAACCAGAGATTGTCTGCTGTTTTTGCTTGATGACTTAAATTATTAATCATCAAATTAGTTGCCCATTCACTTCCTGTCACTCAACAAATACATGAATCATCTACCTGTTTCAGCTCTCCATATTAACATGATAATAACTCAACTAGATGGGCATGAAATCTCTCCACCACTGCTCACCTGGGAACCCCTGCTCCATTACAGCTACCTTTGCTTTGTCCAGCCTCTGGCCTACATACTGAAGCCAGAGAACAGAGGCTTGGTTTTGTTAAAGTACAACAAAAGCGGCAGAGGGAGTGCTGTAGCTGGTAGAAACCTAATCCTTTTGTCCGTTTTGAAGCCGAGGAATGGACTCAAAACAAGGGTGCTCGGAATTCACTGCCAAAAGGCTTTTCTAATTCTTAAGAAACAGACCTATCAATATAATGTAATCTTCTGGCAGGTGAAAGAGACAAGGCTAAGGAGGGGATTAATCATTTGACAGTGTCTGAGTCATACCTCCAGTACCTGTTTTTTGGTAGACTACCATCCCTGACCAGAAGAGAATGATTAAAACCAGTACTCTCCATCATTTAACTCTATAATGGTTGTTTTCAGAGCTGCTGAGAAAGCGTCTCTATCTGCTGGAAGGTGTTTGTGTCAACAGAATTTCCACTTTCCACACAGTACACTTTCTGACCTGCTGAGTGGGCTGTTAATAGCCCAGGTTCCCAAAAGCTTATTTATGATCAGATTAAGCCAAACATATATTTATTGTGATGTTAAAGGGCTAAATGTATACTTGGTTCTTGTTGAGAGTATAGAAACAGGTGCTGTACAGTCTGCTTATTGGCGGCCTTCGTTCTTAAAAGTTTATTTCCGTATTTTTTCCCCATTCACATAGAAAAATTATACACACAATACTTCCACAATACATAGGTTCTGCACTAACCAACCTTTCCATTTCCTCTGCATCGTCTTCCTGAGAAGGAACTCAATCAGGTTACAAAGTCAAACACTTAACGAGCTGAATGTTAATGCAAAAAATGGGTTAGGGTAGTATGCGTGTATTTTTCTGATGAGTGCATTTAACATGTATGACCACATATAGAATAGATACATTTGGACTGTACAGAAAATTAACTATCAAAAAGAAGTAAACCACCCACCATCTCTAGTGTTCCAGATAATGTCGGCTAGTTACCAGTAAACAACACAGCTGAATAACAGATTAGAGCAACTGCTGAATAGTGATCTAAGTTGTGATTTAAGTGCAGGGTGGTTATTTAATCGCTTGTTTGGATCATAAATACCCAAGTACTTCCACCCCTTGTCCATAACTTAGGACAGAAGAATATGGTGAAGCACTGTAGGCACAGCAGGCTTTTCATACTTACATTATATACACGTTCTTAAACCTTCTGTTTGACTTTGGATAATAAAGACTTACTGAGGGTTACCCCTGATAATGAAGACAAAAAGCAGTAACACTTTTTCTTCTGGCTGAGTAAATCAAATGTTCTATAAAAAAAAAATAAAAGACATGAACTGTCATAGCACAAAGTTAACCCCAAACGATTATGTGAAATAATAATTATTATATGAAGCGGAGAGGATGCTCAGCACTGTAAACCCAGCACCAGAATTGTCTCTGTCCTTTTTGGAGTGAGCAGACTGACTCTGACAGATCACTGGCAGTTCACCTTAGCTCCTCAGAGCTTCCAATCTTGACTGCATCGCTTCTATGTCCTCCTCTGACTCTTCGTCTGAAACAGCAGCGGCTGCAGCGGGGCTGATTTCCGGCAGGGCATCTGTGACTTTGCTTGGAGCTTTGCCAAGAGCACCTAAGAAGGCAAACAGAGCTTAAATTCTTAGAAAATCTAGACACCAAAACATAGGCACAAAACAGGAATGTAAAGAAGTATTGTGATGACTTAGTTGAACAAATCTCTTCACCTGCTGTGATCTCAAAGAGGATCTTGTCAACTTCCTCCTCTGCTGCTTCCTCCATCTCCTCCTCATCTTCCATGCTCTCAAATGTGTCTTCCAGCATTTCCTCAATAATGCCAGCCTGAAAATTGAATATGTGTACATGATGCCATAGTTTAGCAACTTGTCTTAGAAATAAGTAAATGGTATGGTATCAGAATTAGTTGTAATCTTTTTTTTTTTGTAGCATTCTGATTGTAAGTAAACTCTATCCATTTATGTTGGACGCTGCTGCTGACCTTCATCATCTCCTTTGATAGGTCCCTCATGGTGGCCTGGATCTCTGGGATTTTAATAAGGCTCTGCATCGCTTTCATCACCTCCGTGCTCTTCTGCAGGGACCCAGCTACACGTAGTAGAGCTACAAACACACAAAATGCAAAGCAAAACCATTCAACTGATGACAATGAAGAATTTTAAATGTTATGATATAAAATTTCCCCTTGTCTAATGACCCAGCTGCCATACTCACCAAGCTGATTCTTCATGCTGAGGACCACAGAGTTCATTTGGGCTTTGGAGGCGTACAGTTTTGTCACAGCTCGTTTTGACTGAATCATCTCCTTTGCGAGGACCACACACACATCCTTCTGGCCCCTTTTGGCTGCATCTTTTATGGATCTTTTCACTTTTTCTTCTTCCCTTTTAATATCTGAAACAAAGGGAGGATGTCAATGCAGACAAAACAGACGAATAACTTATATAATTAGGTCACTAACTGACTGTTGATGCTGAAATTATACAACAATCATACTGAGGAGTCACTGCCTTTAGTGTACAGTCATTTATACTTTCTACTAAATAGTTCAAAACATTGTTTTTTTTTATTAGAAAAAGTGTCCCTTCAAGATATTCCAATTGAAACTAATGTGATTATTTATTCTACTTCTTTTCAGATAGCTAGAAAATACAGACTAATCGTGAAACTACATTAAAGTGAATGAATGAATTAGACAGACATTTTACAGTTAAACAAAACACTACACATTTTCTTAAAACTTACAGCTGTTCAGTGGTTGTTGTGAAATGCTGACTGTATCTTACCTCGGATCTGTCTGTCAATCACTCTCATTTCCGTCCTGATTTTTCTTTGCCACTCAACGACCTGAAATTTGACACTTACTATAAACTACATTGATAATGCCTTAACTGACACAGTAGGTATGTAATACAAATATCAACACAACGTTACGTGTAACATAACGCATAACTTTTAACAGTATAACAGATCATGATGTCAGCTACGCTACAGCGAACACAATCAGGGTTTGTTTACATTGAAGCGACAGGCAGCAGTGTTAGCTTAAATGCTAACTAACGTTAGCTAGCTCTCAAAACAGAGAGCTTAAAGAAGATTAGCTGATCGGTTAATGAGGCATATAAACAACAGAATAACGTTAAATGAGGTACAAACAAAAAGGGTTATCGTAGGGTACTATTAAAGGGTCTGCTGCCTGGTTTTTAACTAAACTAACGTCAGCTGTCCAGTTAGCAAGAAGCAGCAACAGATTGGACGAACTAAGCCGAAACTGACAGCTAACGTTAGCATGTTAGCTAAAGGCGATGTCGTTGTTTCCTTCACACGAACAAACTCTGAAAGACAGTCGTGGTCTTCAGCAGTCAGTACTCACCAGCTCCTTGGGTGGTTTCTCTGATGTTCTACCGAACAGCCCCATTGTTACTAGCGAGTTCAACGCCAAGCTAACCTACCTGACTAAAACTAGCTGGCTAACTGAGCTTGTTGGACCAGCACTTCCTGTTCTTGCTCAGGCCGTCGGGCTCAGTACAAACATGAAGGGAGATTCAGTCCATCTGGTCCTCATCAAGGAAACAAGGACAAGTGTTCAAGTGGAGATGAAATTGAACCAGACACACAGCCAATTAAATTATGTTTATGGTAAGACATTTTAACATGTAAAATGATTTAGAATGAAGGATATCCACGGTGCATTTAGGACCAGTCAAACATTTACTTAAATACAGCTTTAATTATTTTATCAAAGTTAAAATGTATGATATCTGTAAATACATTCAGACTCAGAAATTTGAAGTCCCGATCTAAATTCTGACTATTCAAAATTCAAACCAGGATCCTCATATAGTGCTGTAGTGATGACATTTATTTGTCGGCCAAGGAAGTCAGCGTCGCCTTGGTTTCCTCCAGCTCTGTGCCATACAAAGTTTATGATTCTAACATGTTTTATCCAGCAAGAATTTTTTTTTTTACAAATTAAAACCACTTTTATGATATCTAAAGTGTAAATGCAATTGCTAAAAGTAAAAAACTAACGTTAGGCTATAAATGAACTATACTATGGTCATGTAGCAGCTGCAGAATGGTTGCTCATGGATTGAAGAACCGCTGTCACACCAGGAATCAGGATCTGCACATTTATTCTATCAAAAGTAGCACAGGGCACATAGTGGCAGGCCTCAGTCCCCAG